CTTTTCTTCGTCTCTATTGATTATTATTTTTTTTAGCAGATATTTGTTTCTGAGTTCTTCATGTTAAGGATGATACAGGTGTGCTATTGGGAGGGCGAGGAGGTGTCGGAGGGGGAGGAGTCTGCGGTGGAGGTTGGGAGCGACCTCAGCGGTGACGAGCTCGAGCGGGACAGCGGCGACGAGGGCGACAGCGAGGAGGGCGAGGAGGGCGACAGCGAGGAGGGCGAGGGGGAGGACAGCGAGGGGGAGGACGGCAGCGACGCCGACGGGGCGGAGGAGGGGGAGGGGGAGGGCGGCGGCGGCGAGAGCGGGGAGGAGGACAGCGACGGCGGCGAGGGTGTCGGTGCCGAGGAGATGGCGAGGGCGGGAGGCTCGCCGGCCGCGCCCCCGAGACCGCCTGAGATGATCCACGCATCGGCGAGACTAGGCGAGGCGGATGGCCCCGGCGGCTGCGGCCCCCCGCGTGGACGTGTCGCGCATACTGACGCCCGCCGACTTTGAGCGCATCCGCCGGCGCACGCAGCAGAACACGCGTTCTAGTCTTCCAAGTAGCGCCCTCCCTGGGGGGGGGGGGGGGGCACGTATTCCGCTGATTCGGCCGTATTCGGCTGCACTCTCATCCCTCGCGGCCACGCGGTGCTCGGAATACTCTCCTCGAACCCGCATTCCCGCCGCGATCCTCGAACCCGCATTCCCGCCCCGATGTCGGTGTCTTAACACTGTAGGCTCAAGCAGATCCAGGAGCAGGCGGCGCGCCAGAAGGGGATGAGCAAAGGGCAGAAGCGGCGGCTGGCGGAGCTCGCCGACGACTCGAGTGACGAGGAGGGCCCGTCGGGCGCCTTGGCGAGCGAGGGCGAGGCGGCGTGAGGACGTGTCCGATGCCGCAGTCCGTGACGTGTCTCCGTGGCGCGTCCACAGGCGATCGAGGGCGAGGCCGTGGACCCGTTGGACATCGCCGGCGTGCGGGCGCGCAAGGCGGCGACGCGCGAGGAGAAGCTGGCCTCGACGGTGGCGGGCCGCGAGGAGCGCGCCGCGTTCGGCCGGCGCAAGAAGAAGAAGACGGGCGGAAGCAGCAACCAGGAGAAGAAGAAGACCAAGAACTTCATCATGGCGACCAAGACGCGGCAGGTGCAAAACAAGGTGAAGCGGCGCGAGGAGCTGCAGCGCCGCGCTCGCCGGTCGAGCAAGAAGCAGTTCCGAGGTTCGGTGCGCAAGGGCCGGTAAGCAGCTTGCCCCGTTCGACTGGAGTGAGGTACGGTCCTGTTCGTCAGCTACGTTGCGCGTGCCTAAGAGCTAAGTGAGTTCGGCCGATTTGGGTCAAAACGCTAAAAGCACTACGCCTAGGCGTAGATTTGGGGCAAAACCACGACCGAAGTGGGCCCGCCCGGGGCAAAATGGTAAAAGTGTAAAGTGGCGCGCCGCAGGCGCGCAATCCGCAAAAACTATAAACTTTGGAGATTCTACTCTCCGTAACCGTATATCTCGGCGCTCTCTCCAAAAATAGACTCGCTCACTATGAGCGGCGTGCCCAGCCGGCGGCGCAGCCAAGCCAGTGCGCAGTGCTCGAACTTTACCGGTATGAGACCGGTATTTTGGTGATATTTTTGATAACTTTGAAGAGTGGTATGGTATAGTGGTATGCGAAAGTGGTATGCGGAGTGTTGATTAGTGTAGCGGCTGTGGGTGTGGTCCCAGGAGGCGAAGCCATGCAAGAGTGCGGGTATTACCCGGGTATACCCGGATTTTTGCAGGTATACCCGCAAAAAACCGGGTATTTTGCCAATTTCGCCGATTTCGCCGCAAAAAATGCACTCGGGCTCGCTTTGGTTTCCGTGAGGCAGGTGGTATCCCATACCACTTTTTGATTAGTCTTTAGTGCAGGCCTAGGGTTTGATTAGCCAAAAACTCCCATACGACCGGTAAAGTTCGAGCACTGAGCCAAGCTTTGTTGCCCGAGAGGGCCTGACAAACTTGTAGCGCTACATGTTTGGACACACTGCGGGCGCTTTCGAGGCGAACAGCACAGCATTTTTCTAGGCATAGTGTGCGGGAACTACTTTGCGGGACGATAGCTCTACTACTTACACTGTACCTCCGGCGCGCGCGGGAGCCTCCGGCCCGGAGCGCCGAAATTTTTTGAGACGAAATGCTAAAAGTTAGGCGCTCCGAGACGATCGAAGTGATAAAAGTCGCACTCTCCCCCGACCCGATCAAAAGTCTAAAAGCACCCGAGGCTCCAGAAACCTAACCCTCAGACTATGGCTCTCCCATGTCTCTCTCTCCTCTCGTCGAAAAAAGCTGAGTTGTTGGGTGTATTCGTAAGAGCCACCATGGCGTAGCGATGTCAATCACACTATCGGTCGACCCGCCCTTCCATGAGCCCGGAGCGGCCGAGCATGTAGTCGTTGGTCCACCAGGTGCGCCAGTCCCTTACCCCGGCGATCATGGCGCGAACGCCCACGCGGTGGCGCGGCAGCTGCGCCTCCTCCGTCTCGTTGCCCCTAACGCTGGTGATGCGCACGGCGCACTCCGAGCAGCTGCGGGCGTCGGCGTCGGTAGCCTCGGGGCTTTCGTATGCGGTCCGGGAGACATCGAGCTGCACAAATCGGGTCACCGAGACCCCTCTTGCGCTGAGCCCATCAAACAGGCAATCCGACGACCATTTGCAGGAGCAGCGGCAGGGGCCGTGGCAGCTCACCCGCGCCCGCCCAAAGAGTGGCCGCACGCGCGCGTGTGCCGTCTGCAGGCCGACGGCGATCCTGTGAGTCCATTGAGGCGGATCGGACTTCGCGCCCTGTCCATGCGGCTTCGCCCCTCCAGGCGGCCGGAGCTGCGCGCACAGGGTGAGCGCCGCCCCAGCCTCGCGCGCCTCGAGCCCCATCTTGGGAGCCCCCGCACGCCTCGACGCAAAGTCGGCCTCGACGAAGCCGCGCGAGCCGATTACGGCGGCCTGCAAGCTTTTGCCCATGTGGCAGGAGACACCCATATCAGGCGAGGCGGCTTTTGGGTGTCGCTCCGGGGATGGGCTCACCGCCCGGAACATGTGAAGGACCTGCGCTGCCACGAACGCGTGGCCGGCGTTGTTGAGGTGGATGCGGTCGCCCGAGAAGAGCGGGGCGGTTCGGCCTGCGTCGATCGTGAGCGAGAGCACGCCTCGCTCGCGCGCTAGCGCCAGCATCTTCTCGTGCTGCTCGTCGACGTGTCGCAAGTGCACGCACCAGGGGCGGCAGTGGTTGTTTATGTTCCTGTGTGTGGCGGCGGGTGGCGCGAATTGCTCGAGGCTCGGGTGGCGGCCATCTGCAAAGGAAGCAAGGCACTCTCACCTTGGCAGGATCTCGACGAGGACCACCTTGGCACGCCGCTCGAGCAGCTCATCGAGGAGCAGCGCCACCGCCTCCAGCTCGCCACTGTCACCAAATCCCATGTTGGGCAAATACTCGACGGTCGCAAAGCGCGCCGCCCGCGCAACGTAGCGAGTCCTGCAGGTGCCCGCGATGATTGGCCCCATGCCGCCAATCGCAGAGTCCTGAAAGACCAGCCCCGGCTCGTCAGCCCTAAGGCCATCGAACACCAGGCGCGAGAATCTCGTCTCGTTGCGCTTCAGCCCGTGCCCCACCGAGTTGGAGCCGCCGAGGGCCACGTAGGTTGGTGGAGAGAGGACTATGGAGGTGCGCATGGTGCGCGAACATAAATTGCACGTAAGCACAGTTTTCATGCGATACTGACTGTCGAATTCCTCATTTCTTTCTCAGTGATTGCTCTTGCCGCGCCGGTGTCCAGTCCGAGCCTGGCCGGCTGTTCTTCATTCACATCGTTGCTTACTTACTGGCTCTTACGAGCTTCTGAGGTTAAAATGAGCTCGGGGGCTTCTTTCTCAGTGTATATGTGGCTCTTACGAACACCCGAGTAAGCTAAAGTACGTACCCGAAGGTGGACTGCTGACAGGCAGGGTTTGTTTGCGATGAGGAGCGAAAGAAAGAATTTTACGACAGAGCTCCCGCACAACACTGGGATACTGGGCACGACGGAACGCCGACTTGCTCGCGGGCACCAAGCGCGTGGCGGCGGTGCACCCGTGGGAGTCCAGACAGGCAGCGAGCCCGCCACCCCCTCCCTGCCTCTCCCTCCCGCCTCGCTCCACACGTCGCCCCTGCCCACCACCATTGCCGTTGCGGCGCTGCTCAGCCGTAACGGACCCACCCCCTTGCTTCAACCCCCGCACAGGCGGGCACCTCAGGGGACGATGTTCATGAAAGCTAAGGCTGGAGCTGAGGCAGCCGCTCGACCGCGCTTCTAATTCTTTTTGGACCGCTGCCGCGCCGATTTTTGTCGGCACAACATCATAACTCATATCGGAAGGTACTGTACGGCCCGCGATACTCTATGTGTCTCAAGTCTCTCAGGTCAGCATGCATGGAGAAAGTGGCAGCTCTCTTCCGGGGCAGTGTTGTGGTCGCTTATATAGGTGTGTGCTGTGGCGGGTGTTCCCGGCGCGCGGCGGCGGTCCCCCCTAGCCGCTTGCCCTACTTAACCGCTGTCTCCTGTCTCGGCTCGAGCGGAATCGAGCCAGAAAACGAAAGGCTAGTTCCATTTCACTCTGACACGCTAATCTTGAAAACGTCCAACGGAGCTCCGTGTTGCTCCCAGCGCCCTCCCCCGCGCTTCCTGCGGCCATGGCCGATGATACTAGTATGAGAGGTCATCTGGCTACCGCGAGCGCGACTCAACTCGCCGACGTCGTCCGATGATTGTGCCTCAAAGTCAGCCTCCGGAGGCTATCGTGGGGTCGAGCCGGCAGTAGCCGTGACATGTGGTTCCACCACCCCTCGTATGCTTTGCCTCTGACCGCCACCGTTCCCAGGCTGCCAAATGGGATGGAAAGGAAGGCTCGGCGAGCGTATAGAAGCGTGCTCGACCTCGTCGTGGCAACCTGCACGGCAGCGCTGGTAGGCGCGATGAGCGTCGTGCCACCTGACCCGAGACGGGTCGCAGGCGTCGTACCGAGCGCGTCGAGACCGTGTCCTGATGTGATCTGCACGGGTGAGTCACGTCGGCGTCAAAGGAGCGACGTGCGACCTGTCAGAGCTTGATCTCCGATCTCAGCGGCGTCGAGTCGTCTCCGGCGCGCGACAAAGGTACATCCACAGGACGCGCAGAGGCAGCTGCGACCCAGCGGAGTGGACGGTAACGCACCGCGCCACCTGCTGTGCGTTACCGTCCACTCGGCGGGGTCGCAGCTGCCTCTGGAAGGCACCGAGATGTACCTTTTTCGCGCAATGGTCAAAATCAAGGTTTTGTAACGCGAGCTGTGCCACAGTGAAATGGAACTAGCCAAAACAATCTTTTATTATACGAGTGCGTGGGCGTACAAACTCTGGAAACTGCGTTACGTGTCCCGGGCGGTGTAGTGACAGTGACTAGTCTGCTGCTTGTCACCTCCGCAACCGCTCCAGCACGGCTGCCTCGAGCACGCGCGCCCGCTCCACAAAGACAAAGACGAGGACGCAATACGGCCCGAAGCGCAGGTAGTTGGCCGTGCCCCCGCTGTACAGGCCAAGCACGCCTTCCGACGCGACCGTCTTCCGCATCACGTCCCACGGCGACGAATATACGGCGGCGCCGCCGCCGCCCGCCTCAGCGGCCGAGGGCGAGTTGACAAGGCGAGTCGCGGCGAAGTCGAACGGCTGCATCGCGGCCACGACGGCGGCGCCCGTCACAAAGGAGGACGCGACGTGCGTGAGCAGCTGGTCGGGCCGCAAGCCGCACGACGAGACCACCCACCCCTTAACCGTGTCGTACGTCGACAGCTGCACGGCCGACGCGACAATCACACGCGGCGCGAAGGCCGAGAGGCCGCGGAACAGCCCCGGCAAGCCGTCGGCGCGGACGATCGCTGCGAGTGCGCCGCCGACCGCGCCGGAAGCAGCGGCATGCTGCTGGCCGACGGCGAGGGCGCCGCTGCTGCTGGGGGCCTGCAGACGCGTCTTGACGATGAAGAACGGGTTCGAGGCCAGCGCGGCGAGGCCTCCGGAGATGCCGGCGAGCCCCAGGCTCTGCAGGTACTTGCGGAGCGGCGACGCAGTCTCGTCTGTGCCCGAGAGGCGCTTGAAGGTTGCGTACACGCCGAAGCGGACGCTCACGTTGCTGAACTGCCAGAAACATCCCGGATAGAGTCCGCGCTGCAGGCCGGCGACGCCCTCGGCGCGGCCGATCTGCCACAGCGCCGACAGCACAGACGGGTAGGGCTTGCTGCCGCCGCCGGCGCCTTGCAAGAGAGAGTGGCGGCGCTACAGGCGCACAGAGAGGGCGCTCGCGGGCGGTGGGCTGTAGGCGACGTGGCAACGTGGCAGTGGCTGTTCGAGTGCTGCTCTGGCGCCTTGCAGCGCCATGCGGGTTTTAACGACGTCCACCGGGTTCGTGAAGACGTAAGCGAGGACCGCAGAACTTCCGGAGCACACGAACTCGCCCCACCAGGGG